AAGGGACAGCAGAGATTTAAAAAATGTTAATTGCATGAGAAGTTCCCTTTTCTCTCTGCCAGCTGTTTGGGAGGAGGGAAGCACAGGGTGGTGGCAGAGAGACAACAACGTCCATGCTAATTCGGCAAACAGCAGAATGGAGTCTTTAGCCAATCGGCCAGAGGCCATGGCAAATTTGAGCCGCTCAGAGCACAGTGTGACAAAAATGAGCAAACTCTACTAGTGACCGTCTGATAAAGAAAGCCCGAGGAGGCGAAGCAAAAGGGAGCCATAAAATGAACGGCCTCCTGCCTCATAAATAACAGTAACATAAATGTCACATGAACTTTATTTCGAAAGCGGGCGGTCTAATAAAGATGCTGTTTTAAAAAACGAGCAGAGAAATACATTGTCGTAAGAAGGCCGTATCCTCTGCTTTTCCACCTGCTATTACTCAAGCCGTGATGACACGCGAGTCCTTGCCATGCCACCTTTCAGTGCGTAAACCTGCTTCACGTTACCTTTTCCCTGGGTCTGCCACCGGTACTCTCTGTTCTTTCTCTCAATCCCCCTTCGTCTTGCTCTCTCACTCTCTCTCTTGTTCTCACTCTTTTCAAATTGAGACGACAAGATAAGCGATTGCCACAGCTACAGCTGCCTGCTGCTCATTGATAAAACCATATCTAATCCGTCTTGGGCTCCCTACGCCTCCGATGCACTCCTCTCACAGTCTCAGAGTCTGTCAACAGAGAGGGGATCTATCTCTCTTTTTGAACTCTCAACAACGGCTACAGCTTTTATCAGTGAACTTTTGGGCTAGGAAATGGGGAGCGAATGAGATGGTTGACTTCTGTCCTCGTCGAGCACACCTTGGGGGTCCCATCACCCTCGAGGAAATGACGTCAGCCTTTTCTCTTCTGCTTTATGCCATCTCGAACCACTCTTCTGCTGATTATAAATAAATGACATGATTTCTATCCATCTGGCTTTTGCACAACAGCAAATAATCTTGGGATAAAAGTGCATGATGTATTTTTCATTTTAAGCAGCGTTGGATTGCTCATGTTTATTCATGAGGCTGTCAGTTTGGTTCAGAGTCTGTCAACAGAGAGGGGATCTATCTCTCTTTTTGAACTCTCAACAACGGCTACAGCTTTTATCAGTGAACTTTTGGGCTAGGAAATGGGGAGCGTATGAGATGGTTGACTTCTGTCCTCGTCGAGCACACCTTGGGGGTCCCATCACCCTCGAGGAAATGACGTCAGCCTTTTCTCTTCTGCTTTATGCCATCTCGAACCACTCTTCTGCTGATTATAAATAAATGACATGATTTCTATCCATCTGGCTTTTGCACAACAGCAAATAATCTTGGGATAAAAGTGCATGATGTATTTTTCATTTTAAGCAGCGTTGGATTGCTCATGTTTATTCATGAGGCTGTCAGTTTGGAAGCTTTCAGGTTTTTTCAGCTTGTGCTTTGACAATAGAATAAATGATAGATTTTGTGTACAAAGAATGGTTTGCTTGAAGGATGAAGTTGAAGTGAAAAGAAACAGTGCGATAAGAAGATTGACTTCAGAATTCCCTCTCGTATTTCTCGAATATCATTTGCTCTCTGAATTACCTGAGAACAGTTTAGCCTCCAGACAGAGTGGGGGGGATTGCCAAAAAAAAGGTGTCCACTTTGCCAATTAACCCAGTTCCCAAATGACACAAACGTTGTGCTCCCATTTACAAGGCTGATTTTATGAAGCCTGAGATGCATCCATGGCAGAATATTAATGAGCCACAGAGCAATCACTTAGCATATGCAAATCACTACTAGTTTTATAGTTTGTTTCTTTCTACAGGATGATGCACAGAAGCAGCCCATTATCCAGCCTGTTGTTATCTCTCAGTGTATGAAAAATAGTACACAAAAAAATATATGGGATTATTAGTTTGTGGACTGTGGTATACAAGCCATCCAGTACATATCAGGAATATAATATACTAAACTGCACATAGCCCTAAACCTAAATATGTGTCAGGGTTCTGTCACTTCGGTCTAGTGTAATTCATGGTTTTGTGACAGAGCCCTGACACTCGCGTCATGTCATTGTTTTCATGTGCGCGTGCGGCTTCGAGTGTGCTCGAGCCGTGCGCTCTCGTCTGCGTGTACTGTTTCATGTTGGAGCGTGGTGTTCAGATCCCGGCACTCATGTCTTGAGTTTCGGTTTCGTGTCGGGGTCCGGACACTCGCGCTCCATGTTCTGTCTGTTGTGGGAGCGTGCGGTCTCGAGTTCGCTCGGCCGTGCGCTCTTCTGTCCACGTGTGTTGTGTTTTGTTAAGCACGCGGTTTGTGTTCAGCCGCGTGCTTTTCTTGTTGTCTTGTGTGAACACGTGGCTTATGAGTTTTCTCATTAGCTGCGTGTTCGTGTCTCTTGTTCTAGCACATGGCTTGTGATTTGTTTTGCTGGCCATGTGCTTGTGTTTTGTTTTGTGTGAGCACATGGCTTTTTGTCTTTGATTCGGTGTGCCATGTGCTCATGTCAATTGTCTTGACCCCTCCCATCTTGTTACCTGATTATTAGTTAATTTGCCCCACATGTGCTCCCTCGTTACCCTCCTCATTTGCTCTCCATTTATTCTCCTTGTGTTTGCAGTCCTGGGTCCGTTCGTTGTCGTTATTTCCCCCTGGATGTCATCGTCCATCCCTGGATGTGTCCAGATCCTTGCCTTGCCTTGCCTTGCCTTGCCAGCCTGTTTTTCCCCCTCGGGGTAGTTTTTGTTGCGGTTTTGTTTATTTTTATTGTCATTAAAAGCCATTTTCTGCAATACTGAGTCCTCGCTCCATCCCTCTATCTGGAACCCTGACAATATGACTGTAACACCTTCAAACATCACAAAATTATATATATATATATATATACTGCTAAAAGTAGCAGTGTGGTGTGACAAAATACTATTTTTGTCACATTTATTGTGCACACAGTTTGGTAATAATCAAACATGTTTTACTAGAATATCTCTCTCTTAAAGGGAGAGTTTACCCACAAATGAAAAATCTGCTAATTATCATTCAGTAACAAAAGTCTTGAGGTTTGGAATGACATGAGGGTGAGTAAATGATGACAGAATTGTAATTTTTGAGAAAACTAACCCTTGAAATCACACATTCTTCTGATTCACCTGGTTCATCTTCAACATTTCAGTGTCTGGTTCAATAGTTCAGTGATTTAGTTGAATCATCACTCAGTGTTGTTCCAGAAACTCAAACTGAACAAGGCATTTCACATCTTCCTTTTTGCAGTGAAATAAAGATTTAGTTAAATAGGGCTGTTTATTCAATTTTTTTTAATTAACGTGCATACATTACATTGTTGTTTAGTTTTATTAGCTTAGTGTTTAATGTAAATTAATTCTTAATTATTTTAATTCTGTCGCCCCAATATACTTATTGTTCTAGATAAATGCTGCTCATTTAAAAATAGTTATATAATCAGAAAATTTAAAAAAGAATGTCTCATATATAAAGTATACACACACACACATACAGTATATACATTTAAATGCATATACACTTAAGGATACGGCTCAGTTTGAGAGAACACGCTGCATTATCAGAGACAGCAGGCCGGTTCAACAACAGCTAATCTAAGAGCAAAGACTGGCCACCATGTGTATGTAAATAGCTTGGCAGGAATAGAGCTGAAGAAATGCATTCATTCTTACACAACACTGTGAGTGTCATAGCTCTGCTGCACTGTAGAACTGAAAGACATTTGTGCTTCAGTCAGAGACGCTATTGTCTCATTTATGGACCAGATAGAGAGGATATCTGCAGGTGTACACAAGCCAATTTATTTTACTCTTGTGCTTTTTTTTCTCTCAAAATTGTTTTGCCATAAACAACATGAATAATGTTATGGTAATTCAGCCATATTATTGATCTGTAAGCCAGAAAGAGATGAAGAGATCTGTGCTGATCACAGGATCTGCCAGCCACACCGGACCGTCCTACGGTGTTTGAGATAGAAGGGCTTTACCTCCCTGGGTCACGGCGAGAATCAAACACAATGACTGCTTTGATAAAGAAGATCTACTAAGCTTACATTCACAAAGACCAGTCGGTCAGACTAATGGCTGTGCAATATAGAGTAGCCCAGCAGTAAATACTAACCAGCTCTTTTGCACCTCATTAAACAATAACAACTTGAGCAAATAAACACCCTTCCTAAACAAGCATTATTTGCTCCGCAAAGCACTATTGCAGAGGGCAGCATAATGTTCACTTAGCAGCAATGTGCCCTATAAACTGTGTGCATTTCTGATGCTGCACCAGTGCAGACTGAAAATCAAATATTTCTAGGGGGAAAAAAATGATTTCTTGAATCAGATCTAAATGAATGGAAAGCGTTTGAACAGGAGTACGTCCATTGATTTGAAGCATGAAACTCAAAACTTGTGTGGAAATACACAGTGCTGATTCATTCGCAAGATAAGAACATTATGGAGAGTTCAGGTTCATAGTAGCTATGCATTGTTATTTTTTATGTTTACTGACAAAACAATAATCTTCAAAATTAGTTACAGTTATTCTATAAGTTATCTTATTTTCATTTTCTTTTGTTGTTTTCCAAAAACAAAATAGAAGAAATGGATGGATATTAATACAGTTGTTTAATCAGGTGCTGTTTATCTCTATCCATCCATCCATCCATCTACACGCACACTAGTTCAAAAGTCCGGAGTCAGGACGTTTTTTTTTTTACACATTAAAATGTATAATGTAACAAAATATTTTCAAATAAACATTGTTCTTTTGTGCTATTCATCAAACAAAAAAATATATCATGTTTTTTACAAAAATGACAAATATGAACTAAGTGATTTCAATTAAAAACCTGTGTATATGTTAAATAACAACATTGCTTAGCAGTTTATCAGCCTAGCATAGAGGCCGTCACAGTTGTGTCCTCTGCCTTTTGCCCGCTCAGCTGCTGAAAATGTGCTGGTAAAGGACACCGGTCAGTACTTACTGGACTCGGGGTCAGAGTTGCCGTCACCCTCAGTGCGGCTGTTCGGTGAGGTCTGTTCATAGTACTCTTCCTGAGGGAAGCCCAAGGGCAGAGGCTGGGTGGTGCTGGTACCGCTACTGGGCTCCTGCTCTCCAAGCCCGCTGTCACTGCAGCTCTCCTGAGAGCCATCCGGGAGGTGAAAGGTCACACGGCGTTGTGTCTGCTAAAATACACACACACACACACACACAAACACACAACAGTCAAGCTGAGAAGGCAGTGGCTTCAGGCTTTCAGGAAGGAACAGGAGACTTCATTTTAGAATATTTGTTCCTGCGTATCAAGAGCTCTGGACCTGCAACTGTATGTGTTTTAAAATTAAAAACATTTAAAATGTATTATTTGAAACACTATAAAAAGTGAAAACATAAGTGTGTGATATTTCAATCCCTAGTATCACCAATAGAGTCATAATGCAAATAAAAATAAAACTAGAACAGGAAAAAATATTTCACTATGTACTTCTAGGAACTTTTTCTATTTGACCTGAATCTTAGAAACGACTTATGTTCGTATAACTTATAAAGTCAGGTTGGCTCATATTAAATCATAGTCATATTAAAATATTCCATATAACTTGATTCCCTTAAACATATTAAATAAATATTATTAAGGGATTCAAAATCGTTCAATAAAAAAAAATAAAAAAAATCATGTGGAAGAAATAAAATAAAATAAAAATGGGGAGGAACAGGCAGTTTTCAAAACAAGTAAGCAAATAAACAAACAAAGAAACAAATAAATAAATAAACTTAAGACATATAATGTTTGTACTTGAATAAAACTAGTTGATTGAGCACATGAAGCACATAAAAAAAAATTATTAATAATGATAAAAAAAAGGTTTTTAGAGTGTATCTGGTGCCAAAGTTGTTATATTGGTAAATATCATATATATATTGTAACACCCCTGTGGACTGTTTGTTGTGGTTTCTTCCCCTGTTGTTGGTTTAGCCCGTCTAATTATTAGTTAATCACCTCATTGTGCTCACCTGTCGGTCCCTCGTTAACTGCCCTATATCAGTTCCTGTCTCTTGTATTCCAGTGTTGTCGGTTATTGTGAATGTTACCCCGAGTGTGTGTCTGTCTCTGCCTTGTTGTTGCTACATTAAATATCCTCGTCATCCTGCCTGCCTCCACACACCTGGACTGTGACACATATATATATATTTTGGAGGAATAAGCAAAATCACATAACTATAAAATACTGCATATTCAAAACTGTTAAAAAAAGGTCATGGAGAAGAACAATCGGTTTTCAAATTAAATAAAAAGATTTATTATTTTTAACATGAATAAAACCAGTTGATTGAGCACATGAAGCACTTTTTTCACTACCTGAAAAACACATTTTTAGAGTGTTGTGTAGCTGGTGCCAAATGTATTATATTGCCATGTATCATTCAAAAGGAATAAACAAAATCATATAAACATAAACTTCAGTTATGAGATGACTGTCAGCAAGAACGGC